ATATAGATTATGTCATAATATAATCGTAAAAGTATATTTTTTGTTATGGGAAACAATATAAAATGAATATAATTATATAAATTTCTTTTGTAATAATAAAAACATCAGGAAAGGGTCATCACATTCAGGAAGGTGTGAATGCCTTTGCCTTTGGAAATTCGCCTATCAGGCTTTGTTCTGTTTGAAGGGTGAAGATAAGGCAGTGAAATTACAGATGAATTAGAGGTATATCATCTTAGTCATCCTAAAATGGTAACGCCTGCCACGATCGTAATATCATTGTTTTTATATATAGGCGACAATAACACTATCCATCTGCTGACTCGTCAGCTTGTTTTTCATGAGACCAAAAAAATAAATAAAAAAATATTAGACCCACTAATACAGAGAACCGAATGATCAATGGTACTTATAGTGCGTGGCGATGACAAAACATGTAATCGTGACTCTCATTTCCTGAGAAATGGGACGGAATGTCAGTAATATGATACAACCTGCGTTACACTGACCCCGTTTCTCATTTTGAGCACGACTAAATGTGCGGTTGCGGTGGCAGAGATGGTGAAAAATATAAAAATTCAAAAAACATGATCTTGACTTTCATACCTATATACTTAAGAAGTCGAGAAACCAAGTCTCCCAAGACGTTGGTAGACTTGGTACCTTTTTGGATAAATTTATGACATTTATCACGACGTTAAAAATTTAAATATTTGGAGACACTCGAGATAAATTTTAAGGCCCAAACTGTTAGATCATTTGTTACCAGTAGCATTTTATAAATATTACCGTCAGAAGCAGTGTTTAATATATATTACAGTTATACTTTTGCTGTAATTTATATATTTCTTAATATTGTTATAGGCAGAAATATTGAAATTGTTAATTTTGTTTTCGCACTTTTCATAAAAAGTATAAGTATATAATTTAGAATCTATTGATTCGGCAGGTACAATAAAATATTAACAAAAAATTAATTTAATAGTTACTAAAATATTTAAAATACTCGTTCTGCTTAATATTTTAAATGAGCTGTGAATTACCGTGGTTACAACAGGAACATAACTAAAAGCAATATTCAGCAAATTAATTTTATATAGGCACCGTATGTCGTTATAATTAGGTAGCTGTCAATAACTATAGCCTTGCTCTCAGCCATGTCTGTCAGTCTAATAAGTCGACCTTCAGATATGACCTCAAATAAAGAACATGTTATAAATTCTTAAAATTCCTGATAGACACACAGTTACGATATATTACAGCACCAAAATGTGTTGAGTAAGCTTTAGATTTTGCACCTCGAAAATAAAAATATAAAAGCTGATCAAATCAAATATAGCAAATCTACAAATAATATTAGCTACACTCTTACTCATATAAATATTATTAATGTATATAGGTTAACTATTGACCTAAACATTGTTATGGCTTTAAACCTTTATAAAAATACAATATTTCTAAGAACAATATATACTAATATATTGTTCTTAGAAATTCCAATAAAAAAAACACATGCTTGAAGACTTTAATCCCAGGCACTTAAAGAACATTGCTAATTGTTGCTGTTTTTGACCTATTCTTTCACTAACACAATCGTAGTTGCAGATACTGTCGTTGTTGTTAGTAATAAAACTTATCGGTGATTTCCATCAACGAGTAGTTAGTTATATCTAAAGTTTGATGGCACTCATACCAAGGCTAGTGGGTGAGCTGTGAGTTTTACAAATATACATATATAGAGATTGTAAGTTACTTAAGGGTTGTTTTAACAGCAAACCCTCTTATAGTAAGTATAATTATATATATGTATACATAAATAAATCATCATATTTAATCATTCATCCGAATAGAATAACAAAATAAAATTTTGAAATGATATATATATATACGTATTTTTTATTTTAACTTTCTAAAATCAACTGTCAGAAACGGATATTACCTGAAATATTGTTTCAACAATATATTATTTTTTATATACTATTATAGATACAATCGACATGTGTCCTACAATCTTTATAAAAAAATTATAAGACACATACCTACACTTCGAGGTAATTATAAATTGAACGTCTTGGTTTCGAACACTAATAATCGATACATACCCAATACCAAAGCGTAAAAGTACTGTCCAATAGAATAACAAAATTATAAATTATGCAATTATTTCTCTCACCTTCAATTCAAACTTTGATAATGGACTAGAATATAAAAAAGAACGAGATACTTTTTGTTTTATTTGCGTCGGTCTAGACCTAGTTGGCAAGTTGTAAAACTGTTACAACGTAATAGGCAACCATTTATCAAATCTGGTTTATTTTAACTTTCTATTTATTAGAGAACTATTCAATAATATAATTTACAAGTATAATATGTTTGCAATAATAGATTTATTAATTATTCCGCAGTAGACAATGTTTATATTTTCGCTGTATAATATGGGAAACTAATTTCAACAATATCTTATTTTTTATATACTATTATAGATACAATCGATTATTTCCAATACTATTAGCTGTACGTCGTTTGATCACTAAGCGTCACTTTACTACTCTACTGATTGTATCTGGTCAATCTCCAAGCGGTCCATTGTCACTGACTGGGTTGATCTGATTGAGTATCTGATGTGGTATACCTCAGATACTCAATCAGATCAAACTAGTCACCGACGACGGATCAGAGCATCGACATTATTCCATCAGCCTCAATAAGGAAAATTGTACTAAGTTCAAATATTAATTCGTACATAGAAGGAGCGATTTTCAAAATTGGAACAGCTTAAAATTATTATTCCTAATGGTTTTTTACAGTAAAAATAATTATAGTTACCTATCTAGTTTAATACAGGAACACACCATAATACGGTGACCGCAAATCTGCCCTTAGATTCCTCACCTGATTACAAGCAATCAAGCTTTCATTCTATCGCGGTTTCCTTCTTCGGTAAATTATCTTGACTTAATCATGTCGATAACAGATAATTTTCATGAAATTGCCACTTTCATCGGTTTAAAAGGTAGCTTGATACAGATTTAATGCGTGAACAGGCTATCGTTAATTACAGAGTAACTGTTATAAGATTACAATTGCAGCTAGAGAGATTTGTATATTTATTTTAAGTAGGTACGTAGCAAGATTCAATGATAAAGTTCAACATATTTAATGTTGGAAATAAGGTAATGTAATATACAGTATTTAGACAAGTGACTGAAAAATAACTACTTTAATTTAAAATATTATGGCATGAATAAATAAAACCTATCTAATTCAATAATTGCATTTATAAACCATTTGGTATCTCCAAAAAATCATTCATTTACGTTCATCCAGTCTCATACTATTATCTTCTTTATTTATTTTTCCTATTCCTTTGTAATTTTGTAACAGCAAATACCACAGACATAGAAAATAAGAGAGTTTAACTCAAAAACTACAATAATAAAGCCATTATACTTTTTGAATAGGTAGGCATTTTCTTTCAAACATTCCGAAAAAGAATCTACGTGATCGAGGACGTAGACGAACTAGAATCTAAGTTCTTTGCTTGGTTTTTGTAACCACAAAAACAGAAGTCAGAATGGTCACGTAGATATTAGTAGAGCAACCCGACGAGAAAATATTTGCAATTAAGTATTGCACTAAATATACCTAAGTAGGCTATGATTATTTGATGATTATTTGTTTTTGTCGTTGCCAGAGACTATGACTGATGATTACGATATATTTATACACTACAATTTTAGTGTCAAAGACACTGGAAGCTTGCGGAGCAAGCTGCTTATTACAGAACTAGCTGAGACAGAGGTACCCGTCAACGATATTATAGAAAATTTAATATATATATCTTCCCCTAATTTCTATAAGATGAAAAAAGAGAAATCTGGAATATTAAATATACATACACAATAGCCACATAACTTGATAAAAGTTCACCGTAGTTTGAACACTATAATCGGTTTATTTATTGGTATAACTATTAGGTGTCTGTTTTGAAGAAGTATTACGGCAACAACAAGTTAATGGTAACCCAGATTTCAGTGGTTTTTGTCTAAATAATTGCACTTGACAAGGCTGTTTAAGACGATCCGGTAATCTGATTTAGATTCACCGTCAATATTACGTAAAATTATCAGTGATCGAGCCTAGCCAGCCATCTATTTATTACAGGTGTCCAATATTGTAAGAAATAATGTCGCAAATTGAAGTGACAAAAAGGAAAAGTATTCTTGCAACTACGTTATACAATTAGATTGAAGAAACCTACCGCTACGTCATGATTTTAGTATAATCTGTTCAGAAATTTTCTGCGTCTAACAGGTATACCAGTATATAAAATTCAAAATACTGCATATCACATTATCAGTAACTTCTATTATTGCTATTTTAGGTATATTTACACTAGCTAAAAAATATACTAAATATGTGATAAACTCTTGTATACCAGCTCAATTTGATTCCGTAACCTCTCCATATCTAGACCAATATCCGTAGTTTAAAATCTCCTGCAAAGTTTTACTACGAGGATAAAATGTACAGAAGGGCAAAAATCTCGTACATATATGAGAATTCTCGTACGATAGGCATCCCTATAGCTAGGTGCATATATAATGATAATACGCAACGAACTTTATCATTTTTTTTTCGATAAGTTTTCAGTAATTGACTTTAATATGATAAGTATTGATAAATATCGTAGATAGATAACGATAATCACAAGTTGTTTCCAGTAATAAAAATAACTGTAGAACATAAAGAAAAATACCTATTCAATTTCCTAAAACAAACAAACGTAGGTGAAAAAAAAACAACATAAGTTGAACATGTATTAATTGTATTTCTAATTGAAATTTTAAAAAATATTTGAACTGCGCGCAGGTCTTTAAACTTATATCTACATAATGTTTCTTAAATTATATTGTCTATATATAATAATAAATAACTTAAATAATTGAAGTATTATATCTTCAAAATATACTATCACAGTACATACGATGTCTCACGATGCCCTCGAAAATATATTTTGGTCGTTTATTTATTTACCTATTTTAAAGTTAAATAATGCCTATCTAAATTTAATACTATTTTCTAAAACTATTTTATATTTATTTATTCACCAGTCATGACCTCAAGGAATTCTGAAAAGTAAAAACATGAAGAGATTTAAAAAAAACGAGTCTTATTTACTAGTGGACATAAAATTCATTTTCAACTATGTAGTATTAAATAAAACATGACATAGTCCTTTGGAATGGCAAAGTATGAGTAGTATCACAGGTATCATAGGATAACGTGATACCCATAGTATTGACCAGTTACCAGTTATAGGTTGATTAGCGAATCATCAAGTGGGCAGTCAGATTGTTTGCAATTCTAATTACATAAGAAATGTTATACATTCAAGATTAGTAAAGTATTTACCATCAAAATCAACAGTTCCGGAGCCGTCAGAGTCAATTTCCTCAATCATGGTATCCAAGTCCTCGCCTGTGATTGTGTTATCTAATTCTTTAAATATCTCTTTCAGCACATCCGTAGTTATGTATCCATTGCCTACAATTATTAGAAATAAATAAAAATATATTGATTACAGACAAATTTTGTTAGTCGCATCTATAACTAATAAGTTTAAAACAAATTGACTGTTTCCGTACGTTCTTTTTCATTGGCTGTTTACTTCTTCCAAACTAACAACAACTAGAAACGGATTATGATACGGTTTTTTCGTTATTTATAGAATTTCTTCTGGTAGGTTTATAAGTATGGTTTATATCTATGTCAGACTGTATAATGTATACCCATGTGAAGAGAAAGAGGATCACATGTAAATATATAGATATATATAAACTTATTTTAGTATATATTAAGTATAACTCATTAAATAATTTCTGTTAGTATATTTTTTCTTCTTTATTGTTTAGGAGCTTAGGATCAGCATAATAATATATTTTGTTTATGTAAGCAAATGTTGTATCTACCTTCTTTGTCATATAACCGAAACGCTTCCTTTAATTCTTGTACCATAGCTTCATCGTCCTCTTCTTCTGTTAAGAATTTAGATGCTAAAGAACAAAATTCACTGAACTCTAATTCACCGGAACCTACGAAATAAAGAAAACTTTTAAATATTTAAGTAATTAAAAACATAGAATAAATATCGTTTTTAAAAGTACCTAATGAGCTAAAGTAAATTAATGCATGGTTTCTATCACTTTTTAGTAAATTTACTTTGCAAATGCTAATATAATGTTATCATGAATGTAGTGCAGTGGAAGTGATTCATAAATTCGCTGTTCGAACATAAGCCTCTGTAGCCGTGATCGTCTAGTGGTTAGGACCCTACGTTGTGGCCGTAGTAACCCAGGTTCGAATCCTGGTCACGGCAATGCAAAGTGCATTGTCACGGGTGAGGCATTTTTTTTTTCATATGATGATATGAAGATATTATCAAAAATTAATTATAAAATAAATTATTTTCTACTGACTACTATTTACCTATTCATAATGTTTACTATGGTATATAACAACAATAATTACTAAAAAAATACATCAATTCTTTTTTTCCATAATATTCATTACATACTAATAATACTGATACATCTATTTTATTAAAAGTATGACACTAATAGATAACGATAACATTCTTATCAAAGTTGCATTACTTGGAATTTTAAAAACAGCGCCATCTATATAATTGGCTAACATTACTAACAGAACGATGCTATTTAGATCAACGCCATCTATTGGTGTCTTGTTTAAACTTGAAATATGTAGAGACGAAATGTAATTCGCCCTAGCTCTACCCAACTAGATGTCTTTCCTTGTTACACAAAGAGTATTATTAAAATACTAGATTACCCAGATAAATGAAACTATGTAATACTTTGTATAAGTTAACGTCTTAATATAGTTTGAATTTTGTTGTCGGTAAGTAAGATGTAGTAATAAAAATAGAGTTATGATAGAGATAATTACATCAATATCTACCGGTCTCTTTGTCGGAAGCTTTAACACATTTTATTTTAATATTTATGCCAATATAGTAATAAATTAGTTTTCCTTTGAGATACATAATAATAATTTAAGCGTGCAAGTAATTATGCAAGTTTTTTTTATGTTCTGGCTGCGTGAGCCATTTTGTCAATCAGTCAGTGAAATATACGAAGGTTAATAAAAAAAACCATAGGTTGTAAATATAGGAGGCAAGTGTTCCCAATCCTAGCATTGCACCAACGTCAAGTCCACGTCCACACGGATCCCCCTGGAAACCATTGCGATTAATTTGCCACACGCCAGCATACACCGTTAGTGCAGGCGGGTGCAGTACTATTTCATTATATTACTTTAAAAATATACCTTTCCAGGACATAATTTTCATATGAGCTTTATACTTGAATGACATGGCCAAACTTGGATGTATGCATCAACAAACATTGCACGTTAAATAATATTATATGTACTAAATCTTAATATATTCGTACTATGTAATACGTTGAACAGTATGTAGCGAGAAACTCTCTCAGGAAGTTCTCTCATTGAACATATTAGTCTTTATATCAGCAATATGAACTTAACTTACCATCGGAGTCAACCTCGTTAATAATTTCATTGAGAGTGTCATCATCTAACTCGTGACCTAACATCTCCAGAATGGTACCAATCATGTCTGTACTTATAACACCTTTCTTTTCGTGGTCAAACGCGTCGAATGCATTCTTCAAAACTGTGTAATAGATAAATTTTGTGTTAATATTATGTTATCTGTCATAATATAAAAGATATATATAAGACTAAAAGTATGTTTAACATCGCTTAAAGATTGTATTAATATGTTTCTGTAGCCCTCTTTATTTTATCTCTCTGTTGAACTGTTATTCTCTTACCTATATATTTTGTTCTCATCTCACTTCTCATTACTAATTACATTGTTGGTAGAGACAACCAAGTATTAATTGCTATGTTTATCATTATATTTCTACTTTTAGTTTTATATATCCTTTTATAATTATCGTATAATACAATAAGTAATATAGTCTGGGTTATAATCATTATCACAATTATTAATTTGTATCAATGATTATGATGATGATTATAACCCAGACTATATTACTTATTGTATTATATTTTATCATACGAATAAATAAGAATAAAGGAGAGATAGAACTAAATATGTAAAATACATTACATAATGCACTAAATAGCCCTGGGAAGATATTGTTTCAATGTTACCATTACCACTAAATTGAATCTCCTGGTTTCTTTAAAAGATATTCTTATATGTAACGGGTTTTATATATTAACCGCGAATGTTTAAAAAAATCTACTGTTTTACTATATATCTTAAGCCTAATACAGATAGAGTAATAAATATTTAAATTGGTAATAAAGAGCCACTTTGTTTATTAAATATTTGATCTTTCACTGATTCGTGTCATTATATAAACGTATTTTCATGATATTATAATTTCTGATACTATATTTTAATCATCCTATTTACACAAAGCTGAATAGTTTAATAAAAAAGTAAAACTTACGTTGCAACTGATTCTTGTCAAGTTCCTCCTGTGCACATGTAAAACAGAATAAATTAATTATAAAACATGTTAAACAAATACAATACATTCTTAACAAACGTACACTTATATACTAATTAAAATGCACTTTTTATTTATAAAAATTAACAAACACTAAACACAAAAACTTTTTAGTTACGCACCATTTTTAATCCGTGCAAATTTTTAAATAAATTGATGTGTACTCAGTCAATCAGACTGTATTCAGATTTGGTCCAGATTTTGTCTATGTAGGCCGTTTATATAACAGGTGCACAACGTGTTCCGGCTGCACAAAATATTTCAGAGGTGCTTAATCTAAATCGGTTGATTATAATGAATATGATAAATCGATTCAAGACGGCTTAGATTTCACACATTCAAAATTTTTTGTTTTTCAAATATATAAAAGCTATACATACAACACCTGTACACATAGAAATTAATTTCCGTAACATAGCTGAGATTATGGAATACGTATGTATTGATGATATGCATTAAAACTTTATTAATAATAATTCTAATTATAGAAAGATTAATTCTCTTTCATGTTTTATTGTTACTTATTGCGCTTGTAATTGTCAATTATTTAAATAGTTTTAATGAATATAGTAAAGAAAGTAAAAGTAATGGAGTGAACGAATTGACGTAAAGAAAGTAAATAATTTTCAACGCTGCACGCATGATTAATAATGTCAACTTGTTATGCTCCGATTTTTTTAACAGACAGTTACTAAACATTAATTCTATCTTTAAAATGAATTAAGATAATAGTAAAACTCACATTATAATCACTACAAATTAGTCTATGAAGGTATCTGTGTGATATACAATATCTGTCTAGACAAGAAATAATATCCAATATTAGTACCCTAGATGATATATATCCATATATACCGTTTAACCATTATTCTAATTTATTTTTGTTGTATAAACTCCAGTCAAATGGATACATATAGAACGTTATGGAAAGTCTTAGTTTAACAAATTGGGTGTGAAGTAATAATTTATATATCATAATTACAATTTGAAGGCCTCGGTGATCTAGTATAATAAAATAAATAGTAGCTGTAAGTAGTAGCAGTAGCTAAATAAAATTAATGAGTTATTTTATGAGATACACTTAAGCATTTGTGATCATAATGCTAACAAATACATCGATGAAAGCGTAGTCCAAATGATTATTACTGGCTATATTACTGAATACATTCATGCATGGTAAGCTATATAAACTTCAACTACTGATTCTACTAATAGACACAGATCAACTTCAACACTATATGTATATCATATATCAACATCAACACTATACAGATCAACTTCAACACTATGTATATCATATAGTGCTAAAGTTAATCTGTCTCCATTGATAAAATTTACATTTTTTTATCTATCGAAAAGACGGTAAAAAAGAGGTAGTAAAATAGATTGCATAAAAACTACTCCATCGGTCAGTACTACGGTTGTAAGAAATACCTTTGGATAATTTTGTTCTTTTGGATCCAGTAGTTTTATCTACGAGCCGAACTCATGTGTTTTTCATATTTTTAATTCAAAATTATTTTTCTAAACGATTCCATTATATATATTTATATTATGATAAGAAAATCTATTACTTCTGATTATCTAAATATACTTACTGTTAATATAATATAATATATTAATAGTAACTATATTTAGATAATCAGAATTATTTTTCTAAACGAAGTCATTTAGAAAAATAATTTTGAATTAAAAATATGTAAACTTTCTTTTAAAAAAGTGTCAACAAAATGGATTCAGAATTGCCAAAAAGGACAAGTAATATACACAAAATGCTGTGTAAGATACTAATTATTTTATGAATACTAGAACACACTAAAAGATGTGAGACGAACTTCTTAGCATTCCATGGATTCTCAGAACGGGTGCCGGGTCATAGTGTGGCAGAGAGAGAATAATATATTATTTTTTTAATTCTTAGACCAGTATGTGGGTTCATAAAAAATTACAGTACTATTCAGAACTTAAATATTATACCTACAACAATATTAAAATAACTTCCCGTTGTCGTAGGTATTTAAATATAATGTATAAACCTAATTTAGACAATAGCGCGAGTTTCCTTGTAAACAATTACAGGTAATACGAAGCGTACTACAACTTAAATTGCTCTATAAATACCTATATAATATACCTATACATTAAAAGGATGTAAACATAAAACACAAGCAATTATTCTTTATAAATCGTGCATAAACGATAATGTATCGAATCGAAAACATCGTTTTAATTAATTGCTAATTGATTTATACGTGTATCATTACAGAAACTGTTGGTGGCCGCTGGCGCGTCCGCGTCGACTGACGAATGGAATCTCAGATTCGTGACAGCCAATGCTATCGACAGTGATGAAAATAGATGCTAATTATATATCAAATGACACATAAACGGCTATAACGCGTTAATTACTATTAATTTTACATTAAGTATCTAAACAAATTGCAGACTAATTTCTCAGTGACAGACGGTCCATTTTCAAACAAATAATAAACAGGAATGACACAATCCATTATATTATTTGCATATCATATTATTTGTATCTATATGTTAACATTGTTGTAATTTTGTTTATTATTAAAGAGACAACGCTTTTTTTACGTTTATAATAAGATAAGATTAAAGACTGACGAGAAGTATACAATACTTTCAGCAGTCGTGAATCTTAAGGCAGTCAAGTTAGCGGACTTGATTGCTAGAATCCTCAGACAAGTCCTTTCAATCCTCCAAGAGTCCAAATAAAGACAAACAGGTCATAAAATTCTTTACTAATGCCATTATTACTAAACCCCCTGGAGAATGGCGACAGGGTACTTTTCCTAGCAATGCTTACGTAGTTGCTTACAATGATTCACATTCTTCATCATGGTTACTTCCACTCAATTCATCAACTTCTTTCCATTATGTACTTATACTATTAGCGCAGGTAAGATATATGCACATATGAGAGGCAATAGAAACAAGGTGATGAAGATTTTGGAAAGAATGTATACGGAAATCTTACGGAAGTTTGCTGATTGCACATTCTACATAGGGCATGGTGAATCTCCTTGGTTTATATTTTAAGTACGTCTGATTTGATACACACATATCCGCCTTTTTTTGATCTGGAAATTTGTTTATATGTTCCGAAAACAGATCTAGTAAATACAAAATTTTAATCCGATAATATGCACTCTTGTCTATCACAATGTGTTTAGTTTAATAAAAGCAAAAACCATAACGTGCACGGAAACATCGATGTAATTTATTGCTCATAAAATATTTAATAAAGCCCAAGGGTGAAGCCATAGGCATAATAACTTAATTACTATTTTCAACTATTTATTTAATCGGTTTATAAGTACAGAAAGATAATTAACCAATAGCTATTATTCGAATATATTATATGTAGATACTTTGTTTTGAATTTAGTAATAAAAACTTCTTTGTTTAGAATATATTTTATACTTAGATATATACTTATTAAACATAATTTTGTACGTTTACATGTTGAATTTTTACTTCCGGATAGATATTTGTCTCTGTAGCTGTATATAGTTATTTTCTTTAATAATTAATTTTATACGTTGCTTGCTTTGTTATCTTTGTGCAGAAGAAAATATATCATCATTCGTAACGAGTTCAAATGAGATTCTAGATGCAAAATCTTGAGAGTATTTCGCTGTTTCTTTTATAAAATGTAAATATATAAAATTTAATAGTCGTTAGCCGCAGTTGCCGAGTGGTCATATTTTCACCTGTTTTCGTAGAGCTTCACAATATCTATTTTTAACAATATTCAGAGTGTCTTGCTCGTTTTACTCAAATTAAGTAGCTACCGGAACTGAAGTTGTGATAAAAAAAATTGAGATGCATAATTTTTTATTTTTGTCAGAGGAATCACTTTTATTAATTTATTTATATGAAATAATATTTTGAGATTATTAAGTCACCTTCAGAGAACGTGTACATGTATACTTGCAAGCTTATACGTTATTGGTTATCGTATAACCCTGTTTGCACAATTCACATTTACATAATATTCTAGTCGCGGTCTAAGCACATGAGCTTACGGTTATGGTTACATTTCATTAAGCTTTAATTCGATATTGAGCTTAAACAGAATATCGAATAGGATGTTTATGTAGATAAATATAGATATATTTCATTTTACCACTAGTTTAAGATGAAACCATTATATATCAGTTTTAAGGGTATGTTCCAGCTACTTATAATCACTGAAAATGTTCAGTTGTAGAATACCTAACGAGGTATCAAGAACTGGTGTGAAAAAGAAAAAAAAAGAATTATTCTACTACCTACCTATTGCGATACCTATTGTGATAGCGATAATATCATACGCGAACACTCTGAATCAGTTATACCTCTGCTATCTGTCAGAACTTTGATACTCAGCTTTATATGAAAAGATAGGTATCCGATAAAATAAAACGTATAATCAGGTAAAGTTATGTACTCATAATTCCTATAATCCAACATGGGTATGACAAGTCATAAGAAGTTCCCCCTCGCAACGTAAATACTCGATTTACAAAATGAAAGGTAGCATCCTTAAATAAAATTACTAAGCACGGAGGCGTAATACTGTAATCCTCAGGAAAGCAAACATAAGGGTTACCACAGACGTGACAGTGAATTAGTACTTAGTATACGGGATTCTGTTCATGTTTTAAGACTACGACTACTTTCTATGAGGTAGACCACCTGTCTACCCTCAATCTGTCCATAGTAATAATACTATTACATTTCATACAAAGCCTAGATTTGATAACAATATTTTTTTTTATGTAATTGGAAAGGTAAACAAGCTCACCTGCTGGTAATTGAACACCGTCGCCTATATACATGAATGATCCATAAACATCATCATCGACGTTCGTTGCCATTCCAAAAATGTGGACAAAAATGTTACAAGTATACCGTGCCTTGTAATTTCACTACTACATCTTATAACCTTAAGGCAGCTTACAAAACCAGCTGCTTTTCGGCCGAAATAGTTAACACAAATGTGTCCACATTTCTAATTGTTGAAAAGATATTTATTATCGTTAAGCTATTAGACAAACTTGAGTCTATATGAGATATAAGATAAATTTGATTTGTTTAAGTATCTACCAGGAAGCAGTTATTCATTCCTGGCTAAAGTTATTCATTTAAACGCCAACTAATGCTTCTGGTAAACATCACTACCGTTTATATAGTATCCTGGTATTATTACACAGAAATGTGTATACAGTACATCGAACGTATTATGAATGTGGGTGGTTTGCATCAGATAAACAAGCTGTTTGTAATATCGATTCAAACATGGTAAACACAAATTTTGTAATTAAAAAATCAATATAAGCGAACATTAAACTTGCAAAATTACGAATTGAGTTTGTATATCAATTGCGAAGCGATAAGTGTACAAACTCGACCACAGATAAGATAAAATAACACCAGTACTTGTACTCACTTTTCAAATTTGCCAAATGCAATTTTGTTAATATTGACATTATTTAGCAATATCAACATCGTTTCAAGTCATTCAATATCAATTCATACTCCAATTTCGTCAACAAAAAAAATAGTTTAGACATTCTACATTCCCATACTGCATACGACCATATCTATTTTATTCTACTTGGTATGTATTTTCAAGCCACTTTTAAAGCATCTTGGTTATTGCAGTATAAAATGGATTAAACTATTTGATCGTAAATTGTAATTTGATTAAGAGTCAATACAAATAATCTGATTTAAGAAAATCTGTATCTGTGTCTTTTTATCTCCATATTAGAAATAAGTACAAGAACATAAGCTGCCTGTGGGAGTTATTATCAAAATTTTTAATACTCATAGAAAAAATTAATTCAAATCTTATGGACTATTAACTCCAACAATGCGAGTATGCATGTATACTGATATATTGCAGATATTTGGAATATTCTGGAAAGGTATTCTTGAAACACCACGGGAGCCGGTGATAAAGGAATTTAACGCAAGCAAAACCGTGAAAAAACGATTATTTATTATAAAACATCTTAATCTGTTTACATTAGTGTTCATTGAAACCAGATTTAGTTCTGTTATGTTAATTTTTTCCCACGCCTTGTTATTCATTGTAGTGTTTACTTGAAACTCGATTTAATTCTGCTCTTAATTTTTTCCCACACATCTTATCTCATTTTTCTCTAAGGGCATCCTTTTTGACATTTCACAGATTCAATGTAAGGTATAAAAGAAGCACTTAGTAAAATATACATACCTGTATATTTTCGATATCTTTTGTAATTTCACACTACTTTGTGGGCGACCAAGCTTTGCATTTTATGTTTTTTTTTCAGAACATATATATAGTAGATAATAAAATATAAATATATATGCACGTCATCCATTAATATTACGTCTATATGGAGGAGATCAATGGCCATTTATAAATACAATACAAACATTTATAAAGACAAATAAAAATATTAGACTTGTCAAAAATAAATAAAAGTGCGGTGTTGTAGTTACTAATAAGATATTGTTATTCTATAAGAGGGAGCATTCTACACTGATAGAATATTGTGTTATTTCTATAACATTCTTTTATTCTACTTATTATTGTCGAATTATTATAGTTATTGCTTTCATGTCAATACTTTTTTCACTCGCTATATATTTAATTACTCGCTACTTAACTATAATACAATAAAGAGAGAACGCATATTGTTGAGGTAAATTAACAAACATAACAGCACTGACTTTAGAAATTCTTCCACAATTTGACAGCTACATTATTAAAGACTGACGTTGGCTAAAGAGTATGTCCGTACACAAAAACCTCACAAAGTTACGAACATCCTAAGCCGGGGCGGACCACTAATATATTATATAATTACAAGGAATAACATCTTTAGCATAACAGAACTGTTATTCCGGAACATAGTGTAACGTCACTTTCTACTACATAGAAGGACATTTTTCGGTAACTATTTTGTATCACTGAAAGTTGTCGAGAATAATGACCAAATTATCATATGATCTTTAAGACGTCTTGTCTTGTAATTACTGAATTTGATTAGAATATGTACAAATATTACAAATTAATATTATTTCCTATATTTTCTAATAATTATTACATAGATTTTAAATATTTTTTGTATTATTTAGTTACCTCTTCCCACTTTGAAACAGATAATATAACAACTACATTGAAATAAATTAAATCCATATTACATGATAATAATTTTGTCACCCTACACAGCCGAGTCTCAGCGTTCATAATATTTATAGGCCATTTGCAAACTTGTTATAATTGCTTCATAGCGCTCCGTGAAATACAGCATCTGCGATACTACGACAGAAAGAGATGTAAAGATTAAGACGTAAAGGGAGGAAGAGAGATAAATAGAGAAAAGATTAATACAATGTAGCTTCTGACATAATATTTTGGCAGCCTAAGGTTCACGATGAACTATCTAAACTCATTTTAGAATACTAACAAACTATTTATAATACTAAAAGGCAAGGTATAAATAGAGTGCAAACACTGCATATTCAGCTATATTCATAATATGAGTTAATAATTTTGCTGGCTTGTTACGTAGGCATGCATTTCTGAACAATCAATAGATATGCTAAAAAATATATCTATTTAATAATTGTTATAGCTACAAAATTGTCAATTTTTTTTTTGGTTCTGTTTTCCCCTTTTTAAAAATTGTCAATAATAACTGACAGTGCACGTGAATGAAAAATTGTCATCGTCACTTATATAGCAACAAACACCTTAAATAGCACTAATAAAAGAAGTGTGGGAATAATATAATTAATTTATAGTATATAAATAATCTTTATTCAAATAAATTAAATAAACACAATCCATAACGCATTTAATCTAATCAATTTCTCATATATTCCTTTATTTGCTTGTAACTCATTGTTGCTGGCAGCTTGTTCACCATTCTTTTATATTTTTTCTAAACTTTGTATTTTTGATATTCGGTTTTTATATGTCACGTTTGACTACTTTTTTTCCCTGTGAACCCATTTGGGAAATATACACATGGTGTTCCCGCTCCAATCACACTCATGTGTTCCACAATTATATTCGTTACCCTAAGGTTGACTAAGGGTAGGTAAGGGTAACTGAAGAATAAATGGCAAGCTGTCGTATAGCGGATGATGTCTGCCTCTTCCACCGCTACCTATTACCTATACCTATTGTTCAGAGTAATATAACCTATACATATAAACAAATTAAGACATAAATTTATTTAATCATTCATTCATTATATTCCCTTTGTCTGATGTATTGTCGAAAACTATTTTTTTCAGGTAGTGATGAAAAGAATCTTCTCGTTTTCGTTTTAAATATTTTCGTTACTACCAAAGCTAAGTATCTCTACGTAAATTGAACTATGAATAACAAATCATAGACATACTTAAATATATTTTTAATATATACTTATTATATTTACAAACCACTAGTACAAACAGAAATACTCCTAAACACAAATTTATCGCGACCATCAACAGCAAAATAGTATGCTAACCGCTGGTCCACTGAGGTAGCCAAATTAATTAGTTTTGGAGATCAAATTCTGAATATACTGACATAGTCATATAGCTAGTTTAAAGAGCGCAAATCCAGCCAGTTTGTGGCATTTTCACGTTTCAACTATCAAAGTGGTTTTAATAAAACTTTGCATAGAGAAAGTTAGATACTAAAGTGTGGTCTAGTCTAGATGTTTGAAGAGAACTGGGCTACGAGATTAGCTCTCTTTGATAGACAGCTTTCCATATGTAATATATTATACTCGTATACTGTAAAGAATAATTTAAGCATTTATTCTATAAGAAAATTGACCTTAATTGTACTAAATCGTCTGAATATAATTATTACAGGATCAGAAAGATATTAAATAATGTAAATTATAAAAAATCGCTGCTAATTCAAACGAACGCTTCACATGTTATTATTTGCTTACATTTATATTTACTTACGATATTTAACTGAAATTGTTATGCTATGACTGTAAATAAGCGTAATAATTTCTATCCTATTACAGGTCCACAAACCTCAATCAACTTTCCATATTTTTATTAAAACAGACTGTAAATTATTAATCAATGAAGGAAATTTGTTTAAAGAAAAAACAAAATTACACAGTAACAGTAATCCAATGCTGTGAGGAAGGAATTGTTAGTAAAAAGGATGAGTGACCTAGTGGTAGGTACCTGGCATCGCACTATTATCATCAACGAAAAAAATCCAGTCCTTATTCACTAGAAAACACATGTATTTGAGGTAAAACCATCTGGTGTGTAATTCATAATACATCTTTGTATTTAATTTCAATAAATGACATTTACAGAACCAAAAGTTCTACGTTCTATTGAAACCATTCCATAACCAAAGCTTTATTGTACATCTAATTGTACTAGTGATGTATGTAGATACTTACAATTTAAGAGTTTTGTGGTACTCAGCACGTATTCGTAGCCACCTATACAATTTCCTGTTGAGTTACCATGACAAATTTCTTTCACCCACAATTACGAACCACTGCGTAACGAGTGCCATAAACACTTTTATTACACCAGGCGTGGCTCACATTACATTTAATGTATTCAAAGGATTTTATTTCACCTGAAAATGACACCACTGCGTCTCTACTTGAAGACATTAGTATTATTCCTTTTGTTATAAACTCACATCCTTTACTCTATGGAGACTTCGGGCTAACAAATTGTCATTTGGTCTTGTTAAGTTTGGTTTCTCTACATACCTTATCATTTGTTTTTTCTTTGTAATCTCAAAACATTTGGCAAAGGACATATCGGGTACTGAATAAATATGTATAATAAAAAAATAAATGCCGTCTATAAACAGGTACACGTAATGTACACATTTTACTGAACTATGTACATATGTTACGGACGCTAAAAAATAGTTCTTAGAATTTTCTCTGTATATTTGGGCACGTTTATCTCAGCTGCTGTTTGAGCGATTTCAATTTGTTTTTACTTTTTCACTGATATACAGTAGTATTTATAATATGTTTACGCACAAAAAAGATCAGTTAAATTATTGACATTTCTAGTAGCACGTATATTGTATACCAATTTGAATGTTACAAAGATTTATAATAAATACTATATAAATATTTGTAATAAATACTACAATATACTCGTAATTGTTATTAGAATAGTGGTGGAGATAAATAAAATAGAACATATAATAATTATGTCTTATATTAATTAAAGTAATAATATAAATTAACTTATATAATTTGGATATTTATATGGCTATGGTAATATATGAAGGTACATTGGTGATAATATGTATACATGGTTTCTCTTATGGATTTTGATTTTGTATGAATTGATATAGATATCACAAACTTTTTTATAGCCACGTTTAGTCATCACCACCGGTCATCACCTCCATGAACTCTGTAAATAAAAACAGTTTTGGAATATACATTTTGAAATTTAAAGTTACTTGCAATTTAGTCTTACGTTAGAAGTACCGTGGCAGCCAGCATTCAAATCTTACATTACGAAATATATTACGAATACGAACATGTCTCTTCCAATAAAAGGAGAATAATAATTTACCACTACCCCACTGACCGAGCGTCTTCTTAAAGGATTTTAGAAGGAGTTTTCTTTTCATATTAATGATATGTTTATCATTCCCTCATTTGCCCTTTATTTTAATATCCAAAAGATAACAGTAGTAGTAACATCTGCAGTTCTGAATTATTAATCCGTCCCGAACGTTGTTAATAATATTTAAAAGTAAGCCAGACGATTTTTAAAAAAAAATCTTTGTGATAAATTTTGATGAATTTGTCATACTGATGTAACTGCCCTGTCATCATGACTATTTTATGACTCTCTATTCATCAATACCCCGAAGTCGCGTATACTATTAGCGCAGACGGTAGCGATCATTCTATCATCATACATACAAAAAAATTATCTAAAATAGACGAATCAATAAAGCATCGAGCAAAAGAGGTATCAATGAAGTTAAATAATACCACATATACCACATTTCTACATATTATTCTTGAAGTATATTAATTAATAATAATTACATCAATTGTAGTTGACAGGAAGAATAATTAGTAATTGGTAATATAAACCTTCATATTTATTTAATGATAAAACTTTTTAGAAATACGAAGTAGATAAATAATGCAATAAGATCTCTACGTACGTACACCAAAACAACATACATTATGCTGCATGTTCTCAGTTCTAGCACAGCTAGCAAAGGAATTCGCTATTTCTGGTTGCTAGAAAACACATTCCATATTCCATTATCGTATGAGTGCGGTACTCAGTTCTTATTTATTTTTATATTAGAAAATATTTAATCTCTTAATATAAATTTACCTACCAAATATGTGTATTTATTATTATAGTATATTCAGAAGTCATAGATCTTGTTTGACATACTCGTATATATCGTAGATAAAGAATGGCGTTTATATACTATACATATCTACTCAAATATTCATAAGTTTATCTCAGTTTAACAAAGTATTCTATAAATAGGGCAATAACTACTCCGCCCTGACCTCACAACAACAACTCAAACAACTGACAGAGAAGATTATATAGCAATGATAGAACAGGATTATTAGATTAGTTCAGATTAAACACTAAATAGTCTTTAATCTAACAACCTGACTGACAGACAGACAAGCACGATGTTTTGATTACAAAGCCATGATTGATATTAATATTGTGTTAAGCAATAATAATTTAAATATTAACGTACCGTCAAAGTCAACGGTTCCAGAACCATCGGAGTCAATTTCTTCAATCATCATGTCTAATTCTTCGGCGCTAATTTTGTCATCTAATTCTCTAAGGATCTCTCTTAAGACAGCGGTTGTAATATAGCCGTTACCTGGAATAACAATTATATTTATTAACCAACTGCCATCCATGTCACAACAATTTCAGAAATTTTTACCCTAAAACACCACTGATAACATTTTATCAGTTAGTTTCGTGTTTTAATACTAGAAGGGGAGTCTTCGACTTCATGATTTATTACACGAAGTTTGTGACTCTTTTAACCGTTAGTTATATAATGTCACACTTTATCAGTCTCCTCCCCTCTTAACGTGGATCGCAACGCACCCTTAACGCACCGCTTCCCGCAAACTTTGATTCAATTGTCTTTTTTTAATCTATATAATTTACATTTACTCCCGTATTATTTCTCGTGTTAGCCATAAAGCTTTGAAGATACATAATTACAAACTATATTGTGTATACAGTCAGATTAAATGTTACCCATTTTACTTTAATTAACTAAAACTGAGACCGGCTATAACATCGCTCGTAGGCACCTATTTATATTTTAAATGTTAACACAAATGTTAATGTGTTCATAAATTTAGCTGAAATTTTAGGGGAGTACAATGACCGTTTCAAGTCTTATACATATTAATTTTTCCTCCATTTTATCTCTCAGAAAATTAAAATAAATATTTACACTCAATTACAGTGACTTTACATTTTTTATCATGTATTATTTTAGATTAGTCGTGTACTAGATTGTAAAAATTTAATAACAGTTATAAGTGTATTGTACATTGTTAACAATTGTACTGGTGATTTTCATTTTCACTTTATATATTGCATACGACATATCTGAATTATATAATGCTAAAACAAAAATAATTACTTCGCTTATTCATTAAGTAAGTGAATTTTACTTATATGGGTCACTGCAAAACCCCTATTCGTTAAATAGGTGACACGCAATCCAATATTTTTTTGCGAACTAGCAATTTGTTACAACAACATTATTGCGACCCTCATAAGTAATACATATTGTGTCCTGTACACGAGTGCCTAATACATTTTCCAATCAACACTTTGGAAGAAACGTATTCCCTATATTAGATATTAACTGTTTGTTCAAGTACAAGCTCCAGTTTAGTACTTAATTTTCACTACCTTGCAGTGAAAGACTTATACGATTAAAGAAGAGACCATCAATAATATTATAGATAGTGTTAAGTATGAAAAACTAATATTTACAGTTAAAAGTTATTACGATTATGTAACATCTGAATATAATTCTTCTACATAATGCTGGTCTACCCATATAGGTTTAAATAGTGTAGGCCAACCCCTATTAAATAAAACAAATTGTCATTAAGAAATGATCTTAAATGTGTTACAGGAAGCCGATAAACATTGAAGACTACGCGTAACAGGTGGAACAAGGGGGAGATAATTGTTAGTAATGGGAACTAATGGCCCCATTGCTATCAATGTATCTACTATGTCAAGTCGATCTCCACGCGCAACATTCCCCACCCTCCATACAATCGTTATTAATTTCTGCTAAATTTACCACAATAGGTTAATTATACTGACTTTAATACTCATTCTATCAACCTTCACTGGTGCCTAATCAGTAAATATATTATTATCATTAGTTTAAAAGTATTGATAAAATTGAACCAAAACAGTCAATCTACACAAATCTCTTCGAATGTGATCAGTGAAAAGCAGAATGATGAAGTAATAAGAATAAAAAAATAAAAATTATACCTTCTTTATCGTATAACCGGAATGCCTCTTTGAGTTCCTGTTGCATAGCCTCAGCATCTTCCTCAACCATAAATCTTGATGCTAATGTAACAAACTCCTCAAACTCCAATTCACCAGAACCTGTTAAATATTTAGGTATGTTATTTACATTTTAAAACTATTCTTGACTGTGATCTATATTACGTACACTAACTGTGAAAATATACACTACAATACATTATAATGTGGGTATATTTATATTTACAGCCAAGAGATAAAATGTAAACGGTATGCACATTTATCAGGCTAAAAATATCAGTTTAACTAACTATAACCCGTTTCTTTGTATGAATATGTCTCGTGGACACAATAGAATCTATCTATAATATTACATATAAAACAAAATGGCCCCGCATCTGTTTGTATATTCACAGATAACATAATATTGTATATTCATAATAATATCAAAAACTACGGAATAGATTCATACGATTAAATATAAATCAGCAGAGTGATATCTGAAGTAGGCTTAGGAGTATAATTTGTTATATTTTCTGTAAATTAGTTGTCTCTTGCGAAGATGGGGCAAGTGCTAGTTAATTATAAACTCTAATGCAATGGATAAAAGTATATTCAATAGCAAAAAAATATGAATAGATACATAAATTAAATAAAAATGAAACGTTTTGTCAAATGGAACAAGTTAAAATTTATAATAGCAATGACGGTTTTTACAGAAAATATCACAGTAATACTTCCATATACTATTGAAGATTATTAATTGGCATAGGACAATTCTATATGACAAGTAACATGTAAAATTACACCGTTAATCTTCCTAAATAAATAAATAAAATAAATAAATAAAAAAATATTCTTAAGAAAAAATACATTAACATACCTAATGTTTTTCTAATCCTTATGTAACTAATAGACGACGCAACATATTGATTAAAATTTTTATTGTAACTATTTTTTCGCAACATCAACATCAACAGGAATTTTATTGATATTTTAATTATAAATTTAGGTATAGGTAAACTATTTATTAACTGAGTGTACTCAGATAATAAATAGTTTACCCAGACTTAGGTCTGTCCAGAAGTTGGTATATTTTTATATTTTATGAAGATAAATGTAATTTTATGACGTTAATAATACGTTAAGAAATATAAAATAATCAACCTGACTTACATTTACAATGCTACTAACAAGGATTCGACAATGTTAAGTGTCTAACTAAAAAGTGAACTAAAAATTATAATTTATTATGCATAAAAAAAACCTATCTATTAATTAATTAGGGAATTATAAATTTCAATAATTAAGTTAAATTATATTTAATATAAGAAAAATATTGTAATACATACCATCCTCATCGACTTCTTCTATAATTTCTTTAAGAGTATCATCAGTGACTTGGTGTCCCAACATGCCAAGGATGGTGCCCACCATCACGGTACCTATACAGCCCTTCTTCTCATGATCGAAAGCCTCAAAAGCTTTCCTCAGAACTGAAAATATTTTTGCATTATGAATTCTCAATATATATAAACTGTTATCTAATCATTTGAAAATTAAATACAAGTTGGTTGAGTGCAATATTTTTATAGTATAATATTAGAGGTATCTTCTTATTGTTTTATAACAGTGTTAAGCAAGGATGTTAATTTAAAAAAAAAATAAAACTGTAATACTTTTATAACTTTCATAACGGTATTATATTTTTCCAATAAATAATTAAATCTTAGAAAAATATGTCATAGGAAATTATACCGCATTTCTGAGGACTAGCAAGATTAAAAAATAACTATCTGATTATATTGTTATATTCCACACCTAATAACTGTTTTATTATATAATATGTATGTATATACTTACTGGCAATTTGCTCTTTGTCAAGTTCCTCCTGAAAATATCACCACAAAAAAATATATTAAAAAAAGAAAAAGTAATGTAAGAAAAAAATTAAAAAAAAACAATCCACTTCACTTTTCAAAACACTAATGAATTAAAAACATTTTTTTTATTTAATATTTCACGTATGTATATTTGCTCACCATTTTTTAACTAATTTGTTGTTTATTATCAGAGGTACAGTGCAATATTGTATGCTATGGAGAACCAAAGAATGAGGAATACGAGTCCCTTTATCTGAGTCGAATGAGCGACTAATCGCAATCGCGCACTGATGTCACCCAGGTTGGCTCGGGTGTACGGGGATTCAGGTTCTACTCCCGTCCCACGAGTCACTATTTCTGGGCATCGCGAATTGTATTTAACAGTCGTTGTTAAGGTCGCCACACATTATGTTCAGTTGCCGGATGTCCACCGCGCTGTGCTCCACTCAGGCCCGCCAAATGCGAATCTCTAAATTAATTAATAAGCATTTAAGAATTTATTAACCCATAAATCTGAGAAGTAGCGGCGCTGGACCACTGCCACGACTATTGTCGCGCGTTTTTCATGTAACAAACGGCAATAATAAAATACTGTTTTAGGCACACATATGTACGAAACATGGAAAATTATTGCCACAACAATGTATAAGAAACCGTCCTAATGATTTCCACTCTCTCGCCATAAGATTTATGGCACGTCTATGTCTATAAGTTACGGACCATTAAAATATACAATGTGTAGGGAACGGAACCATCTATAAACATCAGTGCATTAGATCCTAATGGAGTGTTTATTACATATACAGGCAATTCTTTTTTACTTATGACAAATAAACATAAACATCTATACATAATGTGTGAAAAACCGAAAGAAAAGTTAATTACTGTACTTTAATCCCTCGTTATTACTGAACAGATGAAATTGACGCAAGTACTCTGAATTGAGAACAGGTGGATGGCATGTAAATCAATCACTTTATGAGTTTGTTCATGGCATCTTTTAATTCAAATACTTGTCGCGGAATGCTTAAATATTCGAGACTCTTATTATAGTTCATATAATAAATAATAGTGAAGTCTTTTTGTATTTAATCCTGCAAAATTTCTTGCTCTTATATTTTGCTAAGCTGCAATACGATATGACTGGATACTGCAGCTTGGTAGTTATATTCCAGAAATTATCACAAGTGAAGATAATATTTAATACCATGAAAATTAATTTTAAAAAAGATTGTACCCGACAAAACCTCTCAAATATGATAAAGAGTGCCAATAGCCCAAATTTATAACAGACCATAGACCAAACAATCCGTAAATCCTAAGCAAGAATCCCAGACCAAACATCCGATTTTTTCTATTACTATTTCATACATATTTATAGCAATGTGCTTCATCCAATCAAAATTATTATGCAGTAAGTTAAGACTTCTAATCTGAAGGAAATTATCTTTATGGATTGCTTTCAATTTCTACAAGCTATTTACAATAGAGACGTTATTTATTACTTGATTTTACATTCGTGCAGTTTGTCATTAATAGGGTGTCAGTAGTACATCACTAATCCTCAATACTTGGTTCGTATATTATTGAAGAACAAATATATATTCATTTATTATATTATTGTGTTATCGTTTTTACCATATCTTTTCAAATATTATAACCCCATTCCATACCATAAGCAAAGATAGAACAAATTTTAAATGACCGTAATATTTGTTCTAATTTCATAAAATATGTAAAAATTATTTCCTTTTTCAACTTTTAATATCCAGTCTTATTCCAGGGCTTTTTAATAACAGTTAAGTGAATCAGAAATCATGGACACTGTATTTTCTTAATATTTCATCGTGTCGCTCTTATTGGTCGTGTTTACTATTAACTCAATTTTAAATAGTAGCTTTTAATTCTACTAGTTTTTAGTTTTACGCACGAATTGTGGCATGAGATGATCACGTGTATATTGTAATATTATTATTATACACATCGTAACTTTAATCATAAAACTACTTTATATTAGTATTTCCGCTGAAATGTACACCATAAAATGTAAATGGGCAAAGTTTTAAACAAGGGTTGTAAGTGGAAGTTTCTCGAAGGGAATGAAGCAACTGAGGGAGGGTACGGCAGGTGTTCCCAATCGTGGACAGTGACATATTTGTTGCGTTCGGCGCTTTCCATCGTTGCCAAGTACGCCCAAATGCAATGAAAAGGGCGAGTCTGAGGAGAAATATTTATTGTACCCACTTCGGAGGTATTACTTCCGTGTTTCATTTTAGAATATAAAAATGTAAACTAAAAATTACTAATGACATATATTACCAAATTTTTATGAAATAATTCGAATTATGAACTTACATGTAGGTAAACCTATTCTTCCACTAACTAAACTATATTTTTATCCACTCATATACAATCGTAATATAAAAATAAATATCTCCACAACTAAATAAACTAAATTCTATGAAAAATACAAACTTTATATAAATTTATGTGTGTCACTTTTCTAGACTCAAAAGTTCGGCTAGGCGCCTATACATTTATTAAGAGCAATAAAATTGGCTCAAGATTCAAAATAGATTAGGTACAGTTGCCGTGTCTATTTAAATCCATTTCTAAACATGAATAGTATTTTGATTAAGTTGTCTTTTAGTACCTACTGATTTAATTGATAAAATGTTGCAAGTATTTATATTTGGTATTATTTCGATACAAATAATAAAAGGTGTTGTTAATAATAAAACTATATTCATTATTCTTCATATGTTGGAAGGTATACATAATATTTGATATATTTAAGACAAAACTTCCCCCAGGTACGCCTCCAGTCCTTGCTATTGGATACGGATGACCAGACGTGTAAAGATTAGGATAATTAGATATTTAACATCAATTGTAATATTTTATTATTTTGTACATAACTTTTACTACACTTACATAAATTTGATTTAGCTTAAACAGTATACAGGTATAGTTATAAAAATACTAATCTGTCTAGATTAAGTGTTGGATATTATTATATTACATATCCTATTTTAACAATAACACGAGACGCGTTTGCCTTATTTCTTAATTAACTATAAATGTTTGTCTTACGGCTTTGTTACGGTTGATTAATATTTTCGCTAAATAAATAACATGCTCAAGTTACAAGACCGGAGTAGTCAAATTGAAACTTTTTTGGCAGCTGTCATTCTGATGTTTTACTATTGTTTGCAGACATTACTATATTTTCAATCTATTATTAATATCTACTTAGCGTATTATATGCTCTCTTTTTTTGTTATTGGATTAATAAACAATTTCTTTGTCTAAATTGTCTTATACGACGTCGAAACAATTAAGGCAATAGATCTCCGAGATATACTTTATACAAAGTCGTCTACGTGGATACCACTTTCATATTTATTTCAGCTGCGAAGCTTTTAACATGCTTTTGAAAAGAGTTTTGGTAGGTTTACTATAGTGAAATTACAAGCATTACGTCTTAGTTACTTAAAAAGGCAATACATGAGTTGTTCCACGGGCTTAACGTAATGACGTCCATGGTTACATGTATATGGTATAGCGACGGTTGCCCCTTATCATCAGGTGGACCTTAAATTAGTTTACCATTCGAATCATATAAAAAAAACGTAAGTGACGATAAAGTTAGATCATTGACAGCTAGTTCATAAGGATGAATTTACAAGAGCGTCAGGGGTAATTACGTGGAGGTAGACTTGACAGCATTGTAATATATTATTAGCGATTGAACCGCTTATCTTCATTACCAACAATCCCCTTCCGGCGAAGCAAGTTAATGAGCTGCTGTACTCAAATTAAAGTTAGAAATCTTACGTAGATAATAATTCTAAGTTATCATAAGAAACAAGATTAAAAGAAATACGAAACTAAAACATAAAATAATAAATAGAATATTAGAGTACACGAAACCATTACGGTTTTTATTACTTTATTTCCGAGTATAAAATCGGATGATACCACTATCAATGTATATATATATATAATAGTAATATTTTGCATAAGATTTATCTACCTCAGAAACGCTTTGTTTGCGGTGCCAAACCGCAGCGCATGCCTCCCTGCAGCCACCCCATAAATTGATTATGCACAAGTACGAGTACATTAATTATCCGAATGTATAAACTGTGAAACTGTTGTTCCCGTAAACTGCTTAAGGATTACTAGGAAACTTAACGTCACCATCTCCTATCATTTAGTTTAATAGCATTAAAATAGATGTATAACTATTTAGTATATTGTCTAGCTAAATAGTATGTTGCCGCCGTAGAAGATTGTCATGATCTCAGAAATATTATCATTACTTTACAATATTTTATACTATATTACTGTCTAAGCATGTTATAACATTAATATTATATAAAGTACTTGTACAAAAAATATTTTACACAAATATTTGCCAAGTTAAATTTAATGTTAGTGTTAGTTGCGCGTGCGTAGCCCGCAGACGCCAGATTTGGCACGGCGCGCAGGCCACTACCAATTAATGTTTCATCTGGACTTGTTCTAATCACTTGTACAGGTGTTCCTCAATTAATACCGCAAATATAATTCATTACTCAGTTTATTTATAACATATTTGATGACTACTATAATCATGTGAGGATTGAGATGTTACATTAAAGTTGAGTTTTATTTTATACAGTTAGCTAATTTCATCGTCGTGTAGATAATTCGCGCATGGTTATATTTTTAAAACATTAGGAATATCAATGATAGTTACTACATGAAATTAATACTAGTACAGAAACTAAAACACATCATTATCATTTCTAGTACTGAGTACAAAATGTGACAAAATGAAAGGTTATTGTAGTGTAGCACAAATACAGTAGTATGTATGTCATGTTGGTATAGAACAAGGAAACACCAATTTAGGATGCTAATCAAAATAAAAGAATTTGTACTATAAAAAATATAGTTTCAGTTATCATAAATTTAAAACTGGACCGAATGGAAGTGAGTAAGGCCTATATATTGTGTATGTATTATGACCAAAAAATCTCTAATATCACGAGAGAAGAGAATTTCGGATACTATTAACCCAAAAAGTAGTGTGAAAATGAGATAATTCTCCTTATTCATTTCAATTGGTATATAAAAGCTCAGGTAGTAAAATATTTGACCACGACGCAACTCGGGCGCTGCGTCGTGGTCAAATGTTTTATGGCATTGACTTACACCCAAAAGGTCTACAGAGAAATCTAATAGACGAGAAAAAAATGTGCAAGTAAAATGTAATCTTTTTGGTCTGAGAAGTTTATACCACTGCGTAACATGAAAAATAAAATAATTCTGAATTATGTGATTTGAAAACCTTACCGCGCAAAAATAAATTGCATTCCGTCAATATCTCCACTGAGCAAATAATATACCAGTTTCTCGTATAGACTTTTTAATTATTTTTTCAGTTTACAGATAATTAAAAAGGGTTTTGATTCCTACATAATATTGCAACAACACACAAAAAAGGTCGAAGTCGGTCTCCTTTAAAAAAATAATTCCGATTCAACATTATGTAGCGCAATTTTCCCCTTTTTATACTATTGAAGTATAGCTGACTACTCTTGAATTATACACTCACACATATTTCTTCTATATTTCGTGGTCAATGAAAAACTAAATACATTTATTCAGTTTAGATTTGATTACGTTCCAAAATGACGTTAAAAACTTAATTGGATTGAAACCAATATTGAGATTAGACAAGAGAGTAGACCTGCTGATAACTGAATAGATACATAACGAGTAATATTCAGATACTAATACCACATTGTGAGAGTCATGAATATAATCTATGGTAATGACGTAATTGATGAGAGATAAAGATAGTCATGCCTTTTCAAAATCCGTAAAATTGACGTTTATGAGGATAACCTCCTAAACATCAATTTTACAAAACCATCCATAAGGATTGTTTCAGTTTTATAACGAACTGGCAGCTCACCCCGACTTCATATTGGTGTACATGTATTGTACTAAACCTTAAAAAAATCTAAACCTCCCTCTTGAATCACAATATCTATTGTTGAAAACTGCATTAAAATCTGTTGCGTAGGTTAAAAGATGTAAGCGTACAGAGAGTGGAAACACCTTCGTTTTATACTATGTAAAAATAAGGGGGATAGTACCTATTGCAAAAATAAAGTTAGGGAATCAGGGAGTTACTACTACTTTATTTAAGCTGAAAATGCATCTTTTTATCTTAAACCATTAAAAAGTATTTAGTTAGAGGTTCATATGCAGTATAACAAATAGTACCGATATTCCGTATAACGTAAGTTTATTAAAAAGCCACAATTACTTTGAGAATAAATATAGTAATTTTAACATACAGCTATTTTTACTCAATAAAAAACGTAAAATTACTACCACTTCAATAATAATTTACGATTTAATATGGAACATACGTAATTCATTACCATTAATTATTAGGCACTAAAGATAATAGACCATTAGATGACGTACCAGTCAGCCATGACAGTGGCACTGCCAACACTGCCAATTGTTTACCACCGGAAGACATGTCTGCCAATTGTAGCCCGTTTCGAACTATTGTTAGCACTTTTACCATTGTCAAGGTACAAATTAGCTAATTAAAAAAATAAGTAATGAATTATTTAAATATGGTTATTACGTTTCCATGAGAATTATATACCTACAATATAAAATTTCCTTCCATAATTAAATTGAACAGACAACATTATTAACAACCAAACCCTATAAAGAGCATTATTTAGTAGGTATTTAACAATTTCTTTTAAGTGTATATAATATTTTGAACGTAAAGTATATTGATCCTATTTCATAGGTACATACTTAGGTTCCTTTGATGTAATTTTACGCTTCAACGTAAATATTGTGGTATTTCATACTTTATTTTCTGATAATTACTGTAATGCGCTGTGATATTACATTTGAAAAAATAATTTTATATTATTTGCTTCAAAATTAAAATTATAATTGTTTTTGGATTACAGGAATGTGGTTGTTTAAATCAGATAAAAATTACTGGAACACAAATAAAAGGTTAATATATAATAAAACATTTTTTTTTTGTGAAAGTACTTCTGAAAGATATTTACTATAATGTTTCCTAATTAATCTGAAATTATTACATTGAGTTTCATCAGTACTATACTTAAATCATTATGATGTTTCATCTAATTAATATATTTCGTATATATAGACAATATAAAATTTTAGATTTAAACAAAAGCCTATCTTCACTTTTCATTTCAACAAAATATTCATAGCATAAATCTACATTCAGAAATTTCTCGGATAAAGCAACCCAAATGGGTACCTCTACAAAAGTGAAGTCATTAAAAAGAATATTCGTCAAATTAATAAAAGTGTAATAAATCAATTCTGTAGTAGTAAAGATTAAAAATAATGATACTAATACGTCTTGGCTGAGGCCTACAGTTGTTTTTAAATGTAACCAAAAATAAAATGTTCAGCCAATAGCTAGACAATGCACGTCGTGTCTCGGCGCCGCACGCACAGAAACAGCTGTACTCGATTGATTCACGACTGAAGACGGTGGCGGCTGTGACACCAGTTAGAAAGCAATCGACGAGTCCAACTGTCACCGTTCGAATCTATTAATTTAGTACTATACATACAGTAACAACGGCTCATGTGACAAAACTAAAAAAGAAACATGATGAAAAGAAATAAATTTCGCAGGAAGTTCAAAACAAATAAAAAGACTTGAAGCTCTCAAATAGCATATATTTTATATGTAAAATTTGAATATATTCTAAGATAGAACTTAAAAGTTTACACGTTGCCATGGCTGGTGAGTAGAATAGTTTTTTCAGAAAAGCATTTAACCGCCTAGATTAAACAATTCCTGAATAGTATAAAAATTGGCGGTCCGCTACAATATATTCTTCATGCATCCCGCGTCCGGGATCACGCACGATCCTGAAATATTGTTGAAAACAATGTGAAGCGTGAAGCACGCTTACACTAAATCGCGTGCGTGGTAAAATACGCATGACTGAAAACACCCGCGAAATGTAGTCATAAGATCATTTAATTACATATAATAATAAAAATATCACATTTCTCTCTCCATGCCTCATGGTTAATTTATTCAGACTATTTTATTCTTCTAAACTCTAAATACCAAATCTAAAAAGAAAATTAAGAGTCATAGGTATTTATAGACATACATGTACATATAACATAGACATACATATACATACATGTATAGAGATACTCATAATTTATGTATAAAGGAACTTAGTACGTATATTATCGTCAACTTCACTTCACCTACATAGCACAAGAAAAATATAAGTTCAAAAGAAAACTTTTTATTTATTTCAAGCTTTCATATATTGTGCCATTTACCAAATCAGGGAACTTATCATCAAGTTTATCATCAGATATAGAAGAATATACAGATAACTCAGAACTTGTTGAAGACAACTTCCACGAATTCTGAGTCTGTAAGTTATTGTCAAAATGATGACGAATTCGCCAGTCAGCAAGCTGCTCATCCGTCGGTAACAGAGCTGATATATAGCTAGGAGCATTACTATCATTGCTTCTCGTAGACTTCATTCTTACGAAATTCCTCACAGCAGCTTGATTACCAGAGACAAAAAATATTTTCTCAGAATTTACAAACGAAGTGTCCTTGTATTCTGCGCTGTCCCTCAGAGAAACCTTTGGAGGTAAAACTAAAGCCTCAACATTTTTGTGTTTTACAAAAAGTAACCTTTTACTACCCCTTAAGAGCGTAGGCTTTATACGTACCAAACCATATACAAATATAGCTCCAAAAGATAGACATGTAAATGCAGTTAGTACATAAAATGTTAACGATCTAAATTTACCATTTAAGGATTCATCTTTTAAATAGTCAGATAGAAGATAATCAACGCATTTTGTATGTTCAACGTCGTGTGTAGTCAAATTTATAGGACAAAATGTATATCGAGTTGTGAAGTTTATATTATGTATTTGAATAAATTGAGGCATTGTACTTATACAGTAAACCTCATAAGGTAATTGAGATTGGTACCATAAGAGTCCATATTGATCAGATTCTATCAGTTTCACTTGCAGCATTGAAAACTTTGTACTATTCAATAAGAGCATCATTTTTATCCAGTCGTTTAAAGAGATAGGTTTATATTCTATATTACGGCTTTTAAATCTTAAAAACTTATCTATTTTATATATTTTATATTTACAACTAGACTGCTCAATCGGAGATACTAAATTCCAAGAATAATTGTATGCTAAATCAATGTTACTACTTTCATATTGTATATAATTGTCATTCTGAGACTCTATAGTGGACTCTTCAGATTCAAAGCCTTCAACAACCATAACATTTTCTGTATCATTGTTGCATAAGTTCTCAAGGCCTGAAAATTTATATCCAAGCATTTCTTCAGGACTATAACAACCAGGATCAATAGGAAGCAAATCTCTGTTATACAGCTGCCTTAAGTGTGTCATCGAGCAATCGCAATACCACAAATTATCTTGTAAGTAAATTCGGGGACATGGACGTACCAATTCTATAACTCTGCTAAACAGGCCAGATGGTATGGTTATAAGGTAATTATTGTTCAAGTAAATAATATGAATGTTTCGCAATTTATCAAAAGTTCCTTCACCTATAGCGGTTATTTTACACGAATTAAGATATAAAATTCTGCAATTTACTAAAGCGGTAAAACTGTCTTTTATTAAAATATTTTCGAAAATGTTATTAGAGAAATCTACTAGTTCCAGTTTGGGTAGCATTGATGACCCTAGCCCGGTCACATTAATAGGGTTCCAATAGCCACTTGCAGTTATAGTAAGAGCACACAGCGTATCACCAACAGCACGTAATGCATTCTGATTAAAGTATAACAAGTTGGTATTCTTGATATATAACTCTCGCAAACTTGAAAGTCCCACAAGTGCATCTGCCACAAATGTTGATATTGTCACTTTATCAAATAATATAGTAACAATTCTTGCTCCAAAGCGACTCATAAATGCATCAGATCCGATATGTCTAAGGTTTCCTCCCTGAACTACTAAATTGTAGATGTCCACTCGAACTCCAGATAACCAATTTGATGGCATAGTTTCGTTTACAAACATTGGATTGTTGAGTACTAAAGAATAGCCTTGGCAGTTGAATTCGGATAGCTGAAAATATACAACAATTTATTCAATATCCTCGAGATATGTGAATGTGTGTAGAGTAATTCCATTCAAGTTCATTACAAAGGTGACAATTATTTAATATTAGCTGTGCCCACGGTTTCACCCGTGTAAAATTTGTAGATATTCTGATGTATATAGTAGTAAATTATCGTAAGTATTCATTAATAAAAATTCTATAATTTTTGCGTGTAATGTTAGTAACATTTTTGACAATCACATCTATGTTTAAAAGCGTAAGATAATATTTTATAAAATGTATTTCAATAATCTGTAATCTAAGGAGGATAAGATTTTTATGTACTCGTAAGTACACGTCGGAGTCACGGCCTGCGTTTGAAATGCAATTTACCCCATGAAAATCTATTCGTTCAAACAATTTTATTTTGTAAATCTTAACTGTGTAGGTGAAACTGCATTAACTTGAACAATAACAAAATATTTGAAAAAAGCTGTACCTGCGATTTCACTCGCATCAAATTATATATTATTATTCTGATGTATAAACTATATCACTGTAAAGTTTCACCAAAATCCGTTCAGTAGTTTTTGCGTGAAAGAGTAACAAATATCCATCCATCTATACTCACAAGACTAGTTAATTTAACTGATTTATAATCAACTAGATATTCTCTCGACTTCATCTGCTATTTTTTGAGTCAAAAGAAGCCTATGTCCGTCCTCGTGATACAATTTATCTTTAAAAATATGCTAAAGACAGACAAAAAAGTGACATTTTTGCTTTGACAACCTCAGTAATCTAGCAATTTAGAATACCATATTACGCGATGGTCGCACAGTTCTATTCTTCAAACAATACAAACATTTGTTTCCATGAGTAAAAATGTATTTAAGTATTTGTATCTATATTCTAGTACCCATAACACAATCTCTTCTTAGCTTGAATCTAGGATGACGCTTCGTGGATTGGTTCTTATTACTAACTAACTAATGACCTATGCGTCTGTTATATACGATTTATGGCGTGATGGTTCGTGAACAGATCTTTTCGTGGCTATATAAACCGATACGAGAGTCACATAGCCTACCACAGGCTCGACAAGAGAAAATATTGGCAGTAGTCGGTACTGAACCTAGATGGCGCTTCCGTCTCTTCTTATTACTATTACTACTATAATACTATTATATATAATTAGTGGGGATAGTCACAGAAGTTAAAGTTATTAAGAAGAAGGCTGATTTAGTTTCACAAGCGCCTGAATCTTTAAACTGATCAATTTTTCAGATATATGCTAAAATGTATTTTAATATATGCCGCACAATTTTTTTTTTTATTTTGCATTAACTTAACTCATATAAATAAATATAATAGTAATATTTACCGACGATAAGAATATAATATCCTCTTCATAGTCAGCGTAATATGGAGCGTCATGGCACTCTATTCTGCACTTGATAGCGGTACATCGTGAGCTATCAAAAAATGTATGATTATTATGATCTCGCATCGCCATAATTAGTATCAGAATGAAGCTGGCTACAGTGATCGCACCAAAAATGTACTGAATCACGAATTTTAACCATCCTCGGCTGCAAGATGCATTTCTGTAATTAAATAATATTATGACTTACATACATTTTTAACTTATACTTTCAAGTTTTTAATTCTGTGAAATTAGTCAGACAATTTAAATAGATGAATACAACACTCTATAATTATAACTATTATATAGATATATTCTATAATATGCAAAAATATATATTTACAATTGATCTAATTTACATCTACTCGTATGTTTATATATACAGTACTGTATATATAAACATACAGACAGATACATAATTTCAATTTCTATGTTGTACTACGAGAATAAATCTAATAAAAACATTTTCTCTTAACAATCTTACCTGACAGCCGCCGTTAATTTCACTGAAGGTTTGTTACCCAAACGCGATTGAACTAACTGCATGCTAAAAACTATTCAAATTTTACTTTAACAATGACTGTAAAAGCATCTGATACAATTATTTTATATATTCTATTATAATTTAATTTAAGAGTTTTATTTATGTCACTATTGTATACATGCACAGACTTCACTGACCATAAATGGTCCTGATCGAAAAACGTAATAGTCTATTCCAGTAATCCGTAATCAGATAAGGACAACAATATTACTGTATCAACCCATTAGTGTCTGTGTAGGGATAAACTGTGCAAACATACTGCCATCACACATTATCACTTTCACGGGCAAGGGCGTTCTGTCCTTACATAGTTATTACAATTTATTGCACCTAATTTAATATTGATAACGTTACTTTATACGGTATGCTTTAATATTGTATCTACGGGAACATATTTTTTGAAAATAGAATAGTTAAAAAATGCTTATCTGAAAGTTAACTAACATTTATTATTTTAGATTTTATTTTTCCAGCCAGTATGAAAATGTGCCTTGTGTTCCATTTTTAAAAATATGTGTCAATATGAAGAACATTTAAATAATAATAAGGTTATTCCTGCTAAATTACATAATGTTAATACGTTTTTGTTTCTTTAATTAAACCAGAATTATAATTTAACGCCTATCCGCGTATCGTTTTCGTTTTTTTAAGAGTTATTTTTTCAGCTAGTAGGTATTTCATCAGTCAACTTTATGTGAAACGCCATAAAAAACTTAATGAGGAATGAAAAATAGGGCTGACTGGTTCTTCAAAAACTCGAATAATAATCACTCAAGTATATGCGCAATGAAAAAATTATATAAATTTTGTTCTTAATATTACCTAAAACATTCGTTTTTTTATTTACAAATAACATATTTTAAAAACGGTAATGAATTAATATGAATTATTCTGAATTGATTAATACTATTTAATCAATTCAGAATTCATATTTTTATTTGAATCTTTAAACTCCGTATTCCATATATATGTAAACGGGATATTTATCATGATAGTAAAGTATACAATTTTAATCTTTGTATTTTTGAGTCGTTTGATAATACTTAAGAACATTGTGGTCAAAATCAAACAAAACATCAAACATTTGACACCATCAGTTTTAATAGTTCATATAGAACTAAAGTCATTATAATATAAGTAGGGTAATTACTACAATATTAACTCCAATACTGTCAGCACAAAATTCTGGTAGGTATACCTATGTATATGACAATAACAGACTTGTAGCCATCTACGAGTAGGTATATAAGCTCATTAGCCGTTTTCGGCTTTGTCCCAAAGAATTATGATAAAAAATATCAAGGTATGTTTATTGATAGGTACACTAAATTTCATTCAAATTTGCTCAACCATTTAAAAATGAAACATTCAGAAGTCTTTCAAAATTTACATTTACAATATTAAGTAGGATCACAGTTCGTGCCGAAGTGGAACCCCTATGTCAGTTTTAAGGGTGCTCCAATGTTCTGTTTAATAAAACAAAATAAATCATGTTGAAAAATGAGGTACCTATTTCGCCCTATTATGATAAAGTAGGCTTTATTTTATCACAGATGGCTTAACTTTTCCCATTCCTCTAATCCTATAGCAGATTGTTCAGGCGAACCGAAGTATGCCATCATATTTTTATTTTTCTGGCATTGTTAATTATCTCATCTCCCTGATACTTATTTTTCCTTTGTGTCATATGTTATACTTAGATTTTCAGGTGTAAGTATTGTAATAATATTAAATAACCATATTTATTTTACTTAAGGGTATTAAATACTTAGAACATACATTGACTAAATTGTACATAGTTTCGATTCTTTCTATTTGTTGTATAAATAACCGTTTTGTCTAAATCATAGAACGGCAATCATCTTCGTAATTTAGTTTGCGTTAAAGTGATTTTTGTAAATTTTATCTAACATACTCACCATTTTTAGCGAATTTAATGATTTATTTTATTGAGTACACTGCTGTATGGTACTCATTATTTTTTTATATTTGTCACAGTTGTTTCTATTGTCACATACATTTACTTGCTTATTTTGTTTTTTAGGTTTGATTATAGGTAATATTATTTAATCGCTGTAAGATGCTTTATTGATATATAATTGCTTAACTTTTCCGTATGATTGTTACCTTTTTATATGTATTCTTTATTTAGTGTTTGTTACCAATTACAGTTGTTGATTGTTAGATGTCAATAAAGTCCTACAATTGTTATTTCAATTATGTAATTATATTACTGACTACTGATATAATCACCGCTGCTGTTACTTTTCTAATAAATAGGTATATATTATTCTTTTGCGTTATGTTAGTGTCGTTGTGTAGGTGTTTTATGTACCTTATGTTTATCAGTCTATTCCTAATTTATAATATAGTTTACTGATATGTATATTATAGATTTGAAAGTGTCTGTCTACCTGTCACATTAAAACGACTAAATAGTTGAACAAGTCTAATGAAACTTTAAATATAGGTTGTATCACAAAAATGTATATAGGCTAACCTTCAACTTATAAAAGTAGTCTCTGGTAACAGTTAATTCAAAATACCTCTATTCACGTACATCTATTGCAGGTACCTTTAATACGTGTAATCTGCAGTCTACATGTGTGATACTGTAATGTAATACATAATACAGCCAAAATCATACATACATAAAACAAATCTAAATCCTAATCAGACAAATTGTAAAAGGCCATGTCTCTAAAATATAAATATACTTTTTTAAAATGTTTATTCAAATTTAAAATACTGTGTGATTATAATCAGTATGTTATGAAATATTTGATTTAGGTAAAAAATATAATAAATTTAGATATAATATAAATAATTATTTCACTTTCTCTATTATATATTAACAATATAAAACTTAATTTAATTATTTATTTAAAAAAATATTGGTTCACTGTACTGCCAAATACAATGTATTAGTAATTTAATCATAAATTTATAACACAGTTATTTAAAAAACACTGGTCTATTTAAACACAGGCTTTGTCTTTTATAAGGAATATAGTACTGCAATGTTGGAAGTTTAATTGTGTGCTCCCAACACATAAAGTATATGAACAAAAAATGTCTATTGTGACATTATTTCATTTGTATATACTAAAATGTAATGATCACCTGCTCGGTGTACCATACTATAATAACCCATCAATGTCTAATTGGTATTACGTGTTCTCTCTAGCTTGAGTATGAAGACACATATGAGGAACATATTAGCTTTATTACCGCACTAGCCAGGCGCTTTAATGTTTTCATTTCTTGCACTACTATATTGTACTTTATCATTCTAGTCCAACTAGTGCAGTACATGTTAATACAAAAAATTCCTTGGGTATTCTGAAGACAAAAACGAATGGCGCGTAATCTTTTTTTGTCTTTATTCGAACGAAGGTATTAAATAAAGGCACATTTTTTTATTTATTCACAAACATGTGTTTTCATTTAAACTTTTTTTATTTCAAAACTCAAGTCATGAAGATACAAGAATGGATACAGACGACGGTGTGTATTATTATTATTTTTAAACTATTTTCCAGTAATATAGAAAGAAGAAGAGTGTTGTGATATATTATCACTACGCACGACACTGGCACCCATGAGACCAATGTGCCCAATTCAGACATATTTGCATATGAGGCCTTCTCGCTTATTGGGCTAAACTTGTGGACATCGACATGTCCCAGCCATCTCAACTCTGGAGATTGAGCAAATAAATTAGTGGATTAGTAGTGTAACCCCTATTAGATTGCACTTACAGCTGTGTTGCAAATTATTGCCTCGAGCTGAACTGGAATAGATAGTTAGATACAAAATTGTAATAGATACATAATATAATAGGTATTAGTACTAGTAGTAGTATTAGTAGGCCCTGGAGAATTACTACCGAATTACCCACGATAAGTAGAGCTATGTTGTGGGTAACAGACAACCGATATAAATACATAGTTTTTTTATAAATACATATATAATACATAGAAAACATCCAGACCGATTCAAACAATCATATTCATGAATACAAATGTTTGTACTGTGCGAGGAATCGAACGCGCGACCATCGGAAATTAAGCGGTGTGCTAAACCGCTAGACCACCGAGTCCGTCATGTAGATACAAATTCTTTTTTTAAACAGACTAATTGCTACGACCGACAAAGTGCGTAATCATGTCATCATAAGAGATTTCTTGCCAGCTTTTAAAAATATATAAATTCTTACATAGAAGTAAATCCATTATGAAATATCCCTATAATTATAAATCATCCACAATGCAATAGGCAATTTCAAACGCATATCAGTAGCGAAAGATCATACAAACTTTTAATACTGGTTAACTTGGAAACCGTTCCATGTTATCTGACATTAAAATAGTTGTTTCCAAGTTTCAAAGCCGTAGGTATCCACAGATCAAACTTACTATGTCCAACTGTTTGTACTAAAACTTAGTAAGCATCGCCTCTAGCAATACCATGGTATACATTTTTTGACTTAAAATAGTGATATGGATAGAGAAATTGTTGTACGATTCAACGTCCTTATTTCTAATTAACTTCAAAAAAGAGGAGTATACAAGTACGCGAATAGTCGCTATACAACATATATTTTGTGTATATATTTTCATCAATGGAGATCTTTGGGGGAGGCCTATGTCCAGCAGTGGACGTCTTCCGGGCTGCGATGATGATGATGATGATTTTCATCAATACAGAACAAATTTTATTGAGGTATTCTTTTAGGAATCACCTCCGTTTTTATCCAATAATGTCAAAAATAATATAGAAATATGTTTTGTACATTTTACTTATTTAATATTAAAAACTATTCAAATACTCGTAAATAAGCTAATATATGTTTGTAAAACAAAACTCAACCGAAAAAATTGTTTCCAAAACATGACACTTATGTACCTTCTACTTGTACGCCGGTAAATGCACATTTGTTCTGCTATAAAATTTTAGACGGCTATTGCTGTTATGCCACATAGTAAACTTCGCTTTGACG